TACTGACAGGAGTAAATGTGTTCACTAATGGGATTCTATCATTCACATTGCGAACCATGTCAAGACCTGAGAATTTCTCTGGGGCTTTTGTAAGGGCTGTTGCAATGACATTGCTAGGATAGCCCCTTTGAATAAAACGGTCTGTCATTTCAGATAGTTGTTGCGTACGTGTTGTGGCATCCAAATAGATTCTCATTACACTGAGAAATTGGGAAATGGGAAGATTATTCCTCAGATGTTGTGGATGGGCACTCGCATAGTGTAGCAAGTTATTTCTGTCTGTAGGTTTGGAATAGAGAGATGTAACAAACGCATTATCCCTTATTATGACGCGAACGTCAAGAAAGGAGACATCAGATGAGGAAATTGTAGGATTGAATACAATCCCAGTAAACAGGCTATTAAGAAAACATACAAATGTGTCAAAGGCCTGTGTGCTCCCATTCCATATTATGAAAACATTGTCTATGTATCTAACCCATCTAACCACATGTTGAAAGAACAGAGATGGTTTATAGACAAAGCGTCCCTCTAGGAAGCCGACAAACAGATTAGCGAATGAGGGGGCTGCAGAGCTCCCCATTGCTGTACCCCTTATCCCAGGAATGAGGGAAGATGTAATAGGATGTTGTGAAGGATTGCATGGCCTGAGGGTCAGTTATGGTTTAAATGGAGCTGAATGTGAACAGATTTAGATACAGTGGTATGACCCCCCCTCTTGACCGTACAGCACGTGGGAACAACAACTAAAGTCCGCTCTCCACCGAGGGCTCCATACTCATATTGGGGACTTTATCAAACGCCACATGGTGACACATAGGACGGGGAGATTACTTGAATTTATGGAACATGCCAGACACGCTGAGGGAGTCCTGAAGGACACCCGGAAAAAGGGTCAGGGTAGAGCAGATGCTTATTACCAAGAAGACAGAGAGATCACGGTATCCTCGCAGACCCATACAAGATTACCAGGGTAAGAGGGATAGAGGAGAATGTTTTATTTGTGGGAAGCGGGGGCATCTTGCTCGGGAGTGTCCTGACAGAAAACAACGCAGAGAGGAGAAGAGAGAGGAAACATCTTCATGACTGGAACAGGGGGATGTCCCTAGAGAACCACTAACCCAATATGACATAAATTTCCAAGACCGTGTAAAACCCCAAATTGTATTAAAAGTAGACGGGAAAAGTGTTACCTTTTTGGTAGACTCAGGGGCAGACATATCTGTAATTGGAAAACATGAACAGATCCCATTTGCAACTCTGAGACATGTTTTGGTTTCCAATGCTGGTGGGAAGACAGAAAAAGAGCCGATCTGTAAGCCCCTCCATGTACAGGACCCCGAGACCGGGAGAACTATATGGTGTTCCTTTATCATGTCCCGTTCTTGCCCCCTGAACCTGTGTGGGAGGGACCTCATGGGGGACCTTGGGCTTTGTTTGTATCCACAGAAGGAGTCCATTGAGGTGGTGAGAAAACAGCCCCCCCCCCTTCGTATTGGTACGGACTATCTCTGCCAGCCCAAATCACTGATAAAATTACTCTTTGGAGAAAGGAGCATAAGTTCCCAGGCCTGGTGACTCCAGGAAGGTTACATGTGACTACTTACTACAAGGGGACCCCAGGCCCCGATCTACCTTATGAGGATAAGTTTGGTTTGGGGCAAGAATATTTAATTCAGACTTCAACTATATGGTGGGACAAATCTGGTACAGCCATATTGAGATGCCACATAGATACAGATGGACTGTATCGCATGAACACGCCCACTCACATCTCTGTCCAAAAGAGTGAGTCATTATCTTGGGGACAGCTGGGTTACCTTTTAAAGGGATGGATGGCCCTGACAGACGAAGAATTGAGCCACAAGGGCATCTCGACCTGTCCTTTAGTAAGTGAGGGGATGGGGAATCTCTTCTGCCAGGAACAAAGGTCCAACTGATTACCTGTGATGGTCAGTACGATTCCCCCAGAATGTATAAAATGTACCTTTCACGTTCTGGGCCTCTAATAAATTGGACACGGGACTGGTCAAGGGAGCTGAGAAGGTTAAAGTGGTCCCTCGCTCTGACTATCGCCCAAACCAGAGACAGTACCCCTTGAAGCCAGAAGCACTCGCAGGCAATCGAATGTCCAAGGGTATAAGGGTAGCATACCCAAGCTGCAGTGGTGCGAGCCACGGGTCCGGTACCTAGGTCAAATCCTAACAAACGAGGGGAAAATGGTAGATACAGACCGGGTACTGGCGATTCAATCGTGTAAAAAGCCCACCACCAAGAAGGAAATGATGGGTTTCTTGGGTGTGGTAAATTATTGCAGACTGTGGATTGCAAACTGTTCCGAGCTCACTAGACCATTATATGACAGCATACATGCTAACCCCATGACCATGGGAGAGAAAATAGTTTGGTCAGAAGAACTGATGGTCAGGTATAACCAAGTGAAGGAGGCGCTGACCTCAGACCTGGTACTGGCCCACCCAGACTACATGAAAAGGTTTTTCTTGATGACAGATTGTATAGCGGGACATATGAAAGCTGTCCTTTGCCAGAAGGTAGGAGACAGATACCGACCATTGGGGTATTATTCTGGGAAACTGGATGTAAAAATAAGACAAGGAGCCGTCTCGCCTAAATAATATGGAGTCCTCGTTGTTCAGAGTGTATATCAATCCAGGCATGATATAAGTCCAACTAGGTCTCTTAATATATAACATATGGAAAGGTACAATGAAAAGTGTTATCCATGGAAAACCTCAAACCCTGACCTGGATGGCATCAGGTACTACCCGCACAGGTGTCCGCCACCTCTAATCTGATATGTTTTGCTTAGCAACAGAGCTTTCTCAAAGATGTGCGGCCTAACATAACTCAATAAGAAAAACTCATTAGGAGTCAAAATGGTCTCTCTAAGCCTCTATTAGCAGTAGCCTGCTACCCCTCCATTAAAGATTTCTGAGACTTAGCATCAGACAAAGCTTTTGTCGCAGAAGGCTCAGAGGCCGCAGGCAGATCAGAAGATGATTGCACAAGGGAGGGCATGCTTATGGCCTCTCTGGTAAGAATCAGCAACCAAGGCCCATAAAATCAGTAATTGTGGTGTAAACCAGCCGGGACATAACTAAGTAGGGGGCTACACTTCACAGAGCTAACATATACTTTGACAGCCTTGGCATGTTGCCCTCTGCTTGAGTCCCCAGTGTCAAGCAGTACTGGAGTGGCCATTACAGCAGGAATGCTCCCCGTGTGTCTGGGATATGACATGTTGCACTTCAAAAAGTGGCTGCTGGTAATCAGGAGAGGTTCAGATGGCCAGAGGTGACCAGGTCACTGTAGGTGGACAGCAAAGACCAACCAAGTAGGATCCCAGTCCCGGTACTAGGGATGTGAGCCCACAGGCGAGCAGGTGGCAAAGTATCCCCCAGGGGGTGGAATCTAAGGGCCAGACAGTGTTGCGCCAGGGACCCCCTCACAGAAGAAGTTTGGACTTAGCTGCGTGCTGACCCCAAGTCACAATCCCAAGGTTCACCCTGCTCGTGTGGGGAGTACTCGAAGACACAAGACACAGTACAGGCAGAGATAGATGGAGCAAAAGGAGATCCAGATAATGAGCCAAAAGGTCAGGGCGGGCAGCAGAAAATCCTAATCAGCAGAAATATCCAAGTCGGTACACGAGAGATCAGTCCACGGGAAATCAGGTCAGGAACAGACACACAGAAGGGGCTGAGGAACAAGTGTTGCTCAAACTACCCTCAACTGGTCTGAGAGGGATTTAAATAAGGAGACAGACAGGAGGCAGGACAGGAAGTAGCAGGAAGTAAGGTATATAAACCATCAGGTCAAGTGGGCGACAGCTGCCAAGTCAGTGCAGCAAGAGCAAAGTACATGCTTGTAGAACCACAGGTGCCAGCAGACCTACAGCAGAAAAGGGTAAAAAACAAATGCAAAGGAGTAAAGCAGAGATTAGCTCTGTAGCTGATCTGTGACAATTCCTGTGTCACCTGCGATAAGGAGCAGTGGTAGAAATATCTTACCTAATGCTGAATGGCGGAAAGATGATTTTGGAGCATGCATGTGCAACACTCCATCTAAGGCAGGTGTCTCAAACCTCCAGCCCTTTAGCTGTGGTGAAACTACAAATCCCATGATGCATCTCTCTTCGGGAGTCATGTGAGAATCTTGCAATGCCTCATGGGATTTGTAGTTCCACCACAGCTGGAGGGCCAGAGGTTTGAGACCCCTGATCTAAGGGATTACGTCAGCAATCAATCCCTCAGCATTAACCATTTCTGCAGTAATCCAATGAAAAGGAAAAAAAACGCAGACTGTGCCACAGCTCTGGACCTAAAAAGCGCTCTGCAGCCAATACAAAGTACACTCATGTCTGGAAAAGCACCACAATTTGGATGCCAGTACTCAAAGGTCACATTAGATCTGGATAGCTGCGCATAGAGACTAGCTCAAGCAGCTTGTAGAAGGATCTTGATTGAAGGAAAAAAATCTAGCAAAAATATGATTAGGATTTTTTCTTTGATAAAAGGTTTTATTTGGTTTTTGTCAGTTTTGTCGCATGAAGGTTACAAAAATAACAGAGGTAGGGCATGCAAGCCCTGCAACAAGGAACACAAATAGAAAATGTACAGCCAGAACATTGTGCAGAGCCCTGCAGACTGTATAACAGAAGCAGTAGAGCGGGTACTAAAGAACAATTTGGGAGCATGAAAGGGGCATTGCTGTTCAGTTTTAGTGCGTAAGACCCATAATAACATGGAAAAGATTCAAGTTTTTTCAGTAGAGAAAAAACGCTTACCCTCCTAGGACACTATCGAAAAACTATGACATGCTTGTAGAGGAAGAGGTTATAGCAGGCTGGTCAGTTTTTTTGTTTGCCAGTTTCCACACCTTACTGTAGGTGGCAGTATAACCAAAATTGTTGCCAAATCTTTTGCCCCTCAATCAATGAGAAAGAAAAACATAAATTTCAGTGTTTCAATACTACTTACCAAAGTTTGAGTCTTCACAAAATTCTTTTCCATAACGAATCATACACTCTCCCAAAAGACCTTCAGGCTGAGGGTATCCTGGATTCTTCACTTGTCCTCGAATTTTAGATACAGTATTCAGCATAGAAAGCTTAGCACGAGATGCTGATCAGTAGTTTGGGATGAAGTAAAATAAAAAAAAAAAAAAAAAAAA